ATAATAATTCTAAGATCATAGGATCTAAAAATGGTAAAATATGTGGAAAAAAATTATAAAATATGCTTGAAAAAACGTTAAATATGCAAAACAATAATCAAAAACATATAGTATTGTTATTACTTATCAATTAATATTGATTAATACACAAAAMAAAATTATGATTGAAAAGTAAAATATGGCAAGTACCTAATCGGTTGGAATTTGACATTTTATTGAACAGAAAAAATAGAAAAAAAAAATTTTTTCATTAATTGTGAAGTTAAATACAAAATAAATATATGTTTTATAATACTTATTAAATATTTGCATTGAACCACTTTATTGTTTATAAATTATTACATTATTATTTAAAATACATAGTTTAAGGAAGAAAAAAATTGATTTTTTGAAAATATTAAATATGCATTTTTAATTTTTAATTGTGAAGCTCAGCATTGTATAGCTTGGATTTCTAGCTTAGTCTGCTATAAATCGAGAGCATACAAAATAATATGCAACTCCTATAATTTCCAAACCCTAATTATATGTAAATAATATATTTTATAAATAATATGTACCTGTATTGAACTGACTGCCAATTATTAAGCAAGCTTTAACAAACTTTCGATGAAATTTGTGCTTTAAAAGTTGACTTGGAGTATGACATGCTTCAAATGGTTTGATTGTTTTAGATGCTGATATTTCTGACAATTGTTGACGAAGATCACTATCATTGAGTAACTCATGTCCAAAAACAACTTTTGATCCAGAAGATTTTTGACCAGTTTTTTTTTCCTTGTTATAGATTGTGCCTTTTCTAGTCATACTTTTATTGAGATTTATATCGACTTCCATGGACAAATTTGATAAAATATTTCTCCAAGTCTTTGGAATACCATTTGCTTCTACACATGCACGATACAAATTAACTGGAGATCCTTCAATGATTGGACCAATTAAATGGTACAATCCATTATCTGTTTTGATAATATGTTTTGTCTTTCGAACTACCAAAATACCTGCTTTATGAGCTTTCTTCAATACTGTGGTTTGATCTCCTGCTAATAGAGTACCTAAAAATACAAAAATATTAATATACTAAAAAAATAAATATGTTTTTAAACAGATAATAAAGTAAAATTAAGGATATTCTTACAGACATTATTTAACAGATATTTTTATTTTATATTTCTTTAATTTTGTAGGACATAATATTGAAATTATAGAAATTAATAGGTAAAATGTAAGATAAAAATGTATCTTGGAAATCAAGCAATTTTTTGCTACTTTTGATAGTGTATTGTAGCATCAAAATTAATTTATAGGATATTAAATATGTGGTTACTATTAGTTATTACCTATTTATTACAGTATAATATTATATAAATAGGTTAATAGTCATCAATTAATCATTTGATYAATATTGAAATTAGAATTTGGTTTGCTTGCCCTTCAAAGAAAAGATGCATATTTATGTATAGATTGTAATATTTTGATATCAGCGAGGATGTCAGCACACAATTAATTATTTTCTTTCTGATCCACATGCAAACATAGCAAATTAATGTTAAGCAGAACCAATTATGAGATTGTTACTTTTAATAATAGAGTGAATTCATTTATTACCATATAAAATGAAATATGTGCTAAAATCTGTGAATTAGTCTTTTCTCACTACTATATAATATATATATGATCTAATGTAGAAAGTTTGTCATTACTTATTACTCATTAGTGAGGCGGGGTTTTGATGCATTTTGTATTGTTTTCTGAGTCTAGATACAGAATGCTCGTTTACCTTATATATGTTTCATTATTTTTGAATTAGAATAATAAGTTTTCATTTTATACTTTTTAGCATTTTTTTGTCAATTTTAAATTTTAGAGAAATTTAGAAATTTTGGAGCATTTTTGATTTTAAAACTGTATTTCAAGATTTTACACAATTTGTAAATACATACAACAATCTATAATTATGTACCTACAGGTAAATAAATATATGATTTAATAATCTAAAACTATGAAAAAACAATAAAAATGTACACTAAGGCATATAAAAATATTATAGGAATACCTAATAAACAATACATAAAGAGATTACATTATTCTTTCAAGCAATAAATCAACTGTTTTCTACGATAATTTTTTTTTAAGCTCCGGAAAATGATTCAAAGTTCTAGCWACAAAGCTGTATATTATTTTAAAAATGTACCAAAGCAATTCAGTATGTAAAAAATCATATAATGACCTAAAAAGTGATCTTTTGTTTGCAGCAGAAAGTGACTTTAGAAGTGTACTTTAAGACATATTATCCTATTAAACATGAGATAATAATAATAAGGAATAATATAAAATATACATTTTACAAAACAAAAAAATGTGTAAAATACATGAAATAAATATTATAGAAGTAAAAAAATAAAAGTTACAATTAAAATTGATCCATCTCCATCAAATCAAGTACTTTTTAAGATAAAGTATGAACAATTAAAAATGTCTGTATACTACCCATTGCTGGATGATATTATTCATGGTATTAATTTAAGATTTTAACAAGATACAATTGGCTTTATAAATGCTATAGCAGATATTTTAAATTTAAATATAACTTCTGAGATATCTGGGATTTTGGAAAAGTTTGTAAAAATTTCACCAGACGCTTTGATTAAATCAAACTTCTCAAGAATTCAATAGACAAAAATATTATTAAACAAATTACTAATGAATCTGTGTTTTTGTGGCTGGATTGGTTTAAACATTAAAAGACTCCGGTAGATATAATATTGGTATTTGTTTTTCTTAATACAACAGATGTCTATCATTATATTCATCAATAATTGTTTGTGAATGGATATATTCAAAATTAAATATTGTTAAAAGTAAATTAAGGAGTACTATGGCCCAAAATGGTTTGAAATCATTAATGTTACTTTTTACAGACCAAGAAATAACCTCTAATGTTGATGTACATTTAGTTATTAAAGAGTTTAATAATATAAAAGTAATAGGAACTTGTTATTATAAATTTATCATTTTTGTAAAAGAATATGAAATAAAAAATATAAGTAATATTTATTTGTATATAATAATTTGTTAAAATTGAACAACATTGTTTAAAGAGGGCCCAAAAATATTATGGACACCYCCTGAAATTTAGGTCTGCACATGGAATTGACTATTATGAACTATAGTAAGAAAATTATCTGTTTTTATGTGGGTTTTATAYAATATGTCGATTACAAAACAAATTCTAAAATTAATATAATAAAGTGTAAATTAAAAACAATAAAAACCTTCATAACTTATTTAAAATCAGAGTTATCATACAAAAACTCAGATAATGTTCCTATCATTAAATTTTATTTTATTAAATTCATTCTAAAGTTTAAGATAACAAAGCTAGAAGTGATCTGCTGATCATAAATTTGAAATTTCCTATGTTATATWTACTACAAAGACAACACATGTTTGTGTGCAGAGTCCTTTTAGAGAAAATATAAACATTGGAGTAAGGTACAATAAATTCCCCATTCTATAGACTGTCTCAAAAAAGAAAAATCATTTGGCCAACCAATTTATGTCAGTGATGGACATCTCCCGKTGATTTCCCGGTGTTAGCGTGAGCATATTATGGTTTTCAATACACAAATTGCCTCATTCACTAAGTGCAAAAAGTGATTGTTCTCTTCAGGTTTACTTTACCCTCGACTTTACCTATCTAATCTAGACTTTGATCGTACTATTTTACCAAAATAAACCTCTACAATGGATAAACAGTTGTTGAAATCAAATAAAACATAAGTCAGTCAGAATATGGGTTCCATAAAGTTTAAGTGTTTGTCGATTGCCGAYAAAAGAAAGTAATAGCAGCAGTGAAGCAGGTGAAAAATAACACACAATTTTTCCCCTCTCTTTAATTCTAATTAATTTATTTTCCCCTGATTGTTCAAACACTCGGTAAATCGAAAACCTCTATACATTGAATTTTTAACTCGGTCCTATGAATTTTAAATGATTAAGTGACTACTGTACATCAAGTTAGGACTAAGTACCTGAATCTCTATAAATATCAATAAAAAAAAAACACTATAAAAAAATGTTTTCAATTACCTGTTAATGTAATGACTGATTTTGAATTGCCCTTATTTGATTTAATTTTCTTTGTATTAACTGACCACTTAGTTAGGTACTTCACTTTACTTTTTCCCAGACTTCTTACTGAACAGTTAGACTGATCTTGACTAAGTTGAGATGCGCCAGTATTGTCACTATTATTTAGCATCTGAACAGACTGGACTAATTCTGAATCAGATTCTATGGTGTCATCATTTCCATTATTCATGGTAGTAGATGATGCATTATCACTTTGTGATGGCTCAGAACATGGTATTGGCACAGTTGGAGATAGACTTTCTGGTTGTTGAGTATCTTTTTGAGCAGAGTCATTATTGGTTAAGCTTTCTTCAATAATTGTGTCACATATATTCATTGTTTTATTAAGAATATTGTTTGATGGGTTGTTAAGTGTCAACATTGTTCTAGGTTTAAAATCAGCAACTGGTGGTTGCTTAGATGAATTAGTAGGTTCAACATACTGCTGATTGTATACTTGTGACCCGCCATCTTCCGTTGGTTTACTTAAAGGTTGTGCGTCATTATCCAAAGGCATCTGCGTTATGTGACGAGTGAGGTTTGTGCCATTGCGTTGTCCATCTTTTGAGATGTGTTTTATACGTTTTATGAATAAATTGAATTCAGATTCAAATTTACTAAAAGAATGTACTTGCAAAAATTGATCCATTACATCGCGCAACTGTGAACTTTTTTCTTCAATTATATCATTAAATAGAAGCGTTTCRATTGCCGGTTGTGCCATCTGATGCGATTGAAAAGTCGAGCTCGRCGTAGTCCTTTGGTTCGCCATATTTTAAAACTGATCCAAAGTTGTCTGATGACGATGATACGAGAACAACGTTAGACGCCGATATAATTAAGCGACACAACAACACCGTTTGTTTAAAACGAACGAACAAACAAAATAACCGAACGAAATAAAAAACACGGAAGATTGTCGTCAGTTTACGTTGATAATAATCTTGCTTTGTTCTTAAAGAAAACAACAGAAATCATTTATGGAAATATGGACACCAAACAACAAAAACAGAACGCGTCTGCTATTTGAATTGTCAGTAATGCAAATAGCAAATTGCAAATGCAGACATGCAGTATCAACAACCAACTAGTCCAAACGTAAAATTTCAAATGAAAACAGCCAAGGCCAAAATGTCCTAGGAGGCATGGATGTATCATGAACCACGGTAGACAGCAACACAATAACGGTAACCGCCATGAACCACGGTATCGTWTACCTCCACGGAGCCAACAGTGTTTACGGTTAATAACATCAATTATTATTACRCATATATTAAAATGTAATGCCATTCATTACTGTAATATTATTCAAAATTATTGTTATTAATCATTCTAATCTATAGATCGTTTTATGCAATTGATGAATAATAACGATAATTATTTTTTATCGATTTTCTATTCAATTTTTTAATCCCAACAATGTACCTCCATAAACATGGAYCTATAAACTRAGTTATATACCTTACACCAAATACCTTTTCATTTATAGTATTTATACCAAACTTATACTATGGTTCCACTAAGCTAACCGTAGTAACTACTAACAAAATATGTACAASTACCACCGTACTAGAGTCTCTGGACAGTCTRGACTCCATGATAAGAACCTAGACCTACACAGGCGACAGCGGACTCAGGATTTAAACCGCGGGTACCTCCATCAACAAAAAAAATATTGAATATTGTAATAAAGAATAATTATTTGGAAATTTTTGAAATTAATCATTAATGATTATTGACGATACCTACTGAATAGATAGGTAAATACAAAAATACGATATAATATTAGTATATACTATATTACGTATGGTAGTATTCATAAAATGTATTAATTTTAAAACATACAAAMATTTTAAATAGTGGATAGAAGTGTTTTATTTTATAAAGAATTTAGAGTGTTATGAAACTAGCTCATTTTTAATCAACATTGAGATATCTATATTCATATTAATTCATTATTCAATAAAAATACCTATTTATTTACATTWAAATCCGCGCCATAGTAAATGAATAAAAAGTTKTCTTCTAAAAATCTTAAATATGATTATTTTAATATTTTTCCAACTTTAAATAGAAATTTTACAAATCAATCACAATTATTGATAGTTGATGTGTTGTGTAGAATGTTGATAATGATGAATAATATGTATTTTTGTGTAAAAAATGCTAATTGTCTTTTAGTAGGCAGATACCTCAGCAGTAATAGTGGTAGTACCCAAGTGGGCTAGCCACTAGGTGAAAGTCTATCTAACTTCTAGTTAAATAAATATAAATCAAACCTAAGCTGCACGTCATAAATAAACATCAAAACAATTTGCTTAGAAAATTAATTTTAAATATGATAATTAGTGGGCAGTTCATGAAAAAAAAATCTTCAAGTAGGTATTACCTACCCTGCTGTACAGTAGGAATCGAGTGTACCACATTATTGAGTAGGTGCGTAATGGTTGTGTTATTGTTAAATTTGAATTTTATGAGAAATCATTGTATATGATTAAAAGTACTAAGCAAGATTGTCAAACTTWTTGGTGATCGAAGTTACTAAACGATTATTTTAGTAATAAAATTAAAATTTTAACAAAATATTGGGATTTTTTCTCACGATTATTTTAAAAAGTAAGTACTGATAACTTTTTAGCTTCTAAAAGTACCAACTAGATCCAATTCACTACCAAAAACTACCCACAAGAATCAAAGTCGATGATCAGAGAATTTTTCTAGCAAAAAAGTATCTTTAGGCGTAAAAATAAAAAACACATTGTTTTGAGTCGATATAGGTACTCTTCAGCCTTCGCTCTAATTAGAATCTACAACTCACTGAATAAATTAAAAATATATTAAATTGTAACCAATGTAACCCAAGTATTTAAATACCGGACAGTGGACACTACAACACTAGTACTTACTAAAATCAACTATGTGTAGTTAAGGGGACTAGGGGAGAGTCGTCGTCTACAGATAGACATGTTCATATTATTCTGTTCATCAGTAAGACAAGTGAAATAATTTTGGGTTAGGTTTTAAATTGTTTCCTCCAAAAGATAAACGTGTTTTCATTGCACAGATTAATACCACATAATAATATGAAATTTGTTTATTTTTATTAATTATTTCATATATTTACGTCATAATCTATAATGATAACGCATTAACGCGGCTGGTTCCAAACAAACCGTTATCACGGTTCATTCCTTCATTCCATAAGAAATACATTGCCTGTTTATTGTTTTAGATTCATTTGGTTTTTTAATCCTTTTAAATTATTTTCTTATAATTTTAAACTATATCATTATTTTGTACGCATAAGAAACTCGAGGTTTTTTAATTATGGTAAACTGCTGGGCACCCCAATGTTCACACAATTCTGTAAAAGAATCGTGTTCTTTTTTTCGTTTTCCTACAGATGGTACAATACGAAATTCTTGGACGAATTTAGTTAGGTAAGCTTTATTGTTTATTATATTATTGTGTTACTTATACTATTAATTCTATAGTAATATTATTATAATTGTTTTATTAGGAGGGCAGATTCTATTCCCTCAAATAATAGTCGACTGTATAGTTGTCATTTTAAAGATGGTTTGAAAGAAAACGSTCCGTCTATTTTTACTTGGAATGAAAACAAAATTATGCATTTTATTTCCCCCCAAAACGTAAAAGGTGATTTTTATTGATATGTCATATTTATAATTATTATTAACTTTATGTCTTACACATGAATACCTCATGGAAAACGGAGAAATACCACGGTGCATTTCTTGTGGTAGAGAGTATGTTATATTATATAAATGGTAATATTCTATGTTTCATACTTTCATTGGCCTCCGATGATAACAGTTCGAAATAACGATAAACATTTTTTGATAACGTAAGTAGTAAAAGTAAATTTTTCATAATATATTTTTGCTATAGTTTATTATGTAATATGTTATTAATTAGTTTGTATGTACAAACACTACAAACAAATTACATATTCTAAATCTGTAAGTTTTCTATTTTTTAAATATCTATCAAAAAAATCACTATGTTAATGTTAGTGTAATTGTCATGAGAATGTAAAAAAATAAAATGAACTTAAATGAGACAAAATGTTTGGTCTACACTGAKACATATCTCATCGAGTCAGAATGTAGGTTATGTCGTACAAAAATTATATTTTTATTAATTTAATTATTAATTAATGTGAAACGTGGTAAAATATTATGTGAAATCTATAGCTATTTTTTTTGTTTTTATTTTATTTTTATAATTTCTTCATAATATGGTATATTAAATATATATAATATTGCAAGTATTTAATATATAGTATATTTTTACTTATGTACTATTGTACTATATTTGCATTTTATGATGTTAGAGAGATAAAAAACCAAATTTAAGAACATAAAATTTGTTTTTTCATGTTCATTTTTTTATTTTATATCAATAACAACTTATGTCTCTTTGTGTACCATGGGTTATATCATTGTGAACTATGAGTGGTCTGCATTGAGAAACTTTTTACTTTTTTTAAAACAAATTTTGTCAATGGTTTTAATAGTTTTTAATAATGATCTAATACACTATAATAAGCCTTACTACTTTCAACTTCGTTTATTACAGTTAGAAATTATGTACTTCTTTCATATCTTTAATGAGATACAATAATACAAGTTTTGTCTCAAYGTGAACCATTCTCGCCTACTGTATAGCTGTTCTGTGTATTTTGTTTGCCAAACAAAAAACATTTTATACTTTAGGCTTTAGAGAAACCTCTGCTTACAACTTACAAGTTACCACAGATAGTATAAGTATTATCCCTCTTGTAAAGTCAAGGGGAAATATTTCTAAAAGATTATCTTCTCCTCCCTTATCAGTAAAGGTAGATTGGAAAAGTATTGTAGATAGATCGGTATGTCTACAGCTAGTGTTACTCTGTTGATGGACACATATTTTATATTAACTGAATTGCCTTTGAATCAAATCAACATCGTAAAACATAATTTATTTTAATTGTTAATACCAAGCTAGCTGATAAATTTTTTATAAAATAAAATATTTAACTAATATAAAATGTAAAATAAGCAATGCTGTAAGATATTTGAGCATTGGTATTCAAATACTTTTTCACTTATTGAATTATTGAATACTATCTATCAACTTTTATCTTTGTTCATACTCTAATGTATTTATAATCATCACATTTATCTGTTAAAAGTTTAAAACTAGGTATTGTAAACTTCAAAATAGATATAGATAGCCTATGGCTAGGAATGTCTTATTTTATTTTATTAAAAAAACTTTTATTTGATTTTTAAGTACTATTTCACTATAGGTAGCTATTGAATATTTTATACTTTTCTTTCTACTTTAAATAAAAATATTTGGAATTTTTAGTTTATCATCATTAAATACTCTTTGAAGAAGCAATGTTTTTGAAATTTATTCATCAACTATAAACTTATTATTGATATATATGTATATTGTATATTGTTAATTAATAACAAATAATAAGGTATGACAACAAACAAGTTTTCGTGTAGACATAATATAGTACTACAATGATTAATTTGTTTTTACTAGTTACTGTTTTGTAAATAATTTAAATATAAATATCAAAACCCTCAAACAATGCTGTACTGATATTTATAATAAGAAAAAGTTTTATTTAAAATAATACTTACGTGATTTAGGTACTAATTGATCAAGAGAAATACTTGTGTAATAAAAAAAAATTGTGTACATAACATTTTAAATAGTATTTTTAAACTAGATACTTGTTTTTGATGTAGACTAAAGTGTATTATCATTCCAATTATGTCATTACCATAATTAATTTACAATTCTTTTCACAATTTTGTAATAGTTTAAAGATAATTTCAATATATGAACTTAATTTCATTTAACTTTTGCTTCATGTTCATTAGTGTTATTAAATGTTATTGGTAACTGATGAAGTAGTCCTATAGTATAAAGATAATATAGTTATTCAACTCAATTTTTTATTCCAATAACCATTTAGGGCCAATGTAGTATATATAAAAAAAAAATATTGACAATAGAGGAATTGATTATTGATTAATCACACTTTAAACATCGAACACATCTACTTAATTTGATAATTGATAATCACGTATTATCACCACAATATATCATTAAAAAAAAAATATTTAATACTTACAAATTATTAAAAACAATGTTATGGTAAACGGRAAAAAAACCAAGGAAAAAACCATGGAAAAAAATCCAAAAAATAAAAAAACCATAAAAATAAAAACAAAATTTTTAAATTTTGCTATATTATGTCATATAACATTATTATAATAATATCTTTCCTCCTCCAGTAAGTWAAAAAAAATAATAATATCAATTAAATTCAATTTTTAAAATATATTKTTTATTGAATTTGGCATAKTTTTTATTAAAAGGTCGGTAGTGTCACAAYGTATAATATCAAATAATATTATATTTTAATTGTACTAAAAAAATTAAATAAAATATTAAATAAAATAATTTGATCAGTTGAATAAAGTAAAAATAATAAAATTACCAATAAAAATGTGATCAGTCGAATAAGTAAAAATAATAATATAAAAAAATGTGTATAAAAATCGATATGTTATCGATACCTTATTGTAAATGAGATGGCAGTTAAAAAGTTTTCAATATTGTGTATACCATTGTTATAATCTTCACAGAATTGTTTTAATTAAATTTGTATTCTTTTGTACACCGTTTTTTGTCGTTTCTGTTGTAGTACTCCTAGTTGAATTTGGGCTAGCTTTGTTTCATCAGCTGCCACTTCTAACCTTATTTTTTCTATAATAGTCCAAATTGTTGGATGTGTTTGTCCTACTAATTTACTAAACCTATGATTCCATCCTTCGGTTGAATTGTTCGTACGTTCTTCATCATTTAAAGTTGAATTGTGTACGTTCCATAAGTTTGGTGGAAAAATAGGGGGGCAGTTTCTTAAGACTATTCTGTTACTTTCATTTATAACTTACCTGTACTTGCCATTAATGTATGTTGTATCGAAATAATTTAATAAATTTTCAGCCTCCCCAGGAATAGTGGTTTCTAAATATACCATACCATCTTTGACATCTCCAACGGGTAAAAATGCCAAGCCATCCATTTTTCCACAAAATTCGATTAAGTTTTGCTCTTCTCTGTATTGCGTCTGCAACCCTAACTCTTGTACTTTCYGATAAGTCGACTGAGTTAAATGGTAGAAACAACCTTGAATGTGTATATCTAATCCAAGAACATGTGTGATAGCTGTGATAACTGCACTTTCAAAATCAACATGTACTACCACAGGATCAGGAAATAAATGTTGTTCTTCACATTTTTTTAAAAACGTAGTGAGCATTTGCTCATAAGTTGTCATAGTTTTATTCTGTAAGAGAATGTATACTGCTGTTGTAAAATTTCTATTTGTTTCTACCCGTATGAMATACAGCTGACTACAAAGTTTTGGAGCCAAAGCAAAGTTTCCATCCATATACCATCTCGAAGAACTTGCTAAATTAACAAGCCCTTCATGTGTTGCAAACATCACTAATTCTTTCATTTGCTTCTTTCCCGTTGTCATCAAGTAACAGTACTTTGTTGTGTGGTTCTTCTGTAGAACACCACTCCCCCTAAACATAAATTAATAAAATTAATAACTGAATGTTTTGATTTTAAATGATTTGTTTTTATTATTATTTTTTAATATAATAATTAATATAGAATTTTATACACACCATACAATTTTCAAAATATTTTGTTTTTTTAGTTTTTTATTCTAATTATTATAAATTTCAATAAAATTTTATCCGTTGGGTCAAAAAACTTGAAAGTTTAATACAAGATTCCCCATAAGTTACTATAATAGCAGTTTGAAAATATTAAAAATACATAGTCAAAATTTTTATTTATAAAATTATAACCGTTTAAAGTTCAACTTTTGACAAAACTTGTTTAATTGAAAATTTACAAATTCTTTAGTTACTAAAAATTTATAAAATGTTAAACTTTTATAGCTAAGGATTAAAAATTTGAACAAGGTTCCGCGTAACATAATCATCACGATTTAGGACGTATTCAAGAATATAAATTTTTTACAAGCATTAAAGTTCAAATCTTAACAAAATACGGAAAAAACATGAAAATTAGCAAATTATTTTGAGTTAGACATTTTTATAAACTGACATTTGTTGTCTCCGTCATAACAAGGCTAATTAAATTTTGTTAATAGGTGTCAACCAATTTTATTACTTACCAAAATCTCAAGTTCGTCTAGTGTAGCTGGATCGATAGGATTTTTCTTTTTTCTGTAGTTTCTGATAGTTCGTTTTAATTTTTCTTCGACGGGCATCCTTGCTCTGGTGTAGCATCTAATTGAGACACAGCTTCAGCATACATCTGTGACGGATTAGCTCCAGAATACTTTGCAATCTCTTTAAATTTATTGATGGCTTTTGCAATATCAATTTTTGCTGGTTCAGCTGGGTGCTCATGCATTACTTTGAGTACTGGGTGTGTTAAAAGTATAGAGGTGTGGAGAATAGCTGGGCAGTTTAAAGAACTCTACTACATCTCCATATTGTATAATATTTTTTTCCCGCGTATTTCATTACGAACATATAGCCTTTAAACATTATTTTGTCTTTTCCTTTATTAGATGTAATTATTAACATAATTAAACACAAAAAATAACTTGAAAATGACAACTTAAAAGTTTAAACTCAAGTTAACACKACAATTCAATGACTTCAGTTCGATGAAATATGTTTTACTACATTGTGTAACAACTAAATAATCTATATAATAAATTAATAACTAGTCACTAGGTAATACCTACAATAAAATTATGCAGGTGTGCCTGTCGTCTGTATAATTTTAACCGTCTAAATAAGTCAAATAACTTTTAGGCCAGTATAGCCCAGTATAAATACCTTTTTAATCTTAATGATAGTTATATACCTCTATTGTACTTTTATGATCATATAATATACAATATATACACAAATTATAGCTATGCATAGGTACAAAATATAAGATATAAGATATAGAATATTAATTGAATGATGTTAACTAAAATTTCCCAACACGAAAATATACCACTCCCAAAACATAGCATAACAAAGTTAAGCTGTTTTAAATATTTTTGAATGTGAACAATTTAAATATTATTTTTAAACATAAATATATATATTATATTTAATTATTCAAAATTTATAAATTTGGTTACGAAAGTATTCAACAGATAGAACACCTGGGCAGTTGAATTATTGATCTACATTTTTAATTAGAAAATTAGAACTTATGACTAATGAAATATGACATAATAATATATGGCAAAATATAAAAATTTGGTTTTTATTTTCATGGTTTTATTTTTCATTTGGTTTTTTCCCTGGTCTTTTATTCCTTTGGTTTTTAATTTTTTGGTTTTTTTCCGTGATTCCAATGGTATAATATATAATTTATTTTTACAATTATAATATACTAGTAGTACTAGATACTAGATTTAGTAATTAGGACTTAAGAGTATATATTATAATATACATAATACATATATATGCAGTATACACTATATAGTGCATACTATACAATTATATCAAAAAATATAATGAATAGGTAAATTTTGTTTTAAATACAATTTTAAAAGTTTTGAATATTCACAAATTATAAATTTTGATCACAAAATGTTGGCACCCATTTGGTYGCCATTGGCTCCCCAAATATAGACTTGCTGTAATATCCTATTCCTGCTAAAAATATATGAATCTTTGTTTATACCTTTAGTATTTCTTTAAGAATTGTAGAAATTAACAACAACAATTTTACTCTTTTAACTAGGTATTTCGATTTAAAAAAAAAAAATGAGTTCTCTCAAAATGTTGGTGTTCTTCAGCTGTTTTTTGTATAAATATAGTTTCTATTTATATTGAATATTTAATTTTTGTAAGAATTGCTTTTAAATTTGCATATTTTATAAAATAAAAATATTTTAAATTCATCTGCACTTAAGTTACTAACACTTTTTTTAAACTTGTACTTTTGAATGCTTTTGATGATGTCCAGATGGTTTTGCAGTTGAAGATTTGCTTCAACGAGGTCGTGGCTGGAAGAGAGTACGCCTGTGTCGTTGTTGTTGGTTCCGATAAGGGTATTGTCTGAGGTTAGGATATCTGCTGTGAATAAAGTATAGAGGAAAGGAGTGATGTCACTACCTTGGGGGACACCTGCTGAGATTGTTTGTAAACTGGAGAGTGCTGTATTTATTTTTACTCTGAAGCTTCTGTCTCTAAAATTATGTATTAGACACTTAATTGATGCAACCTGTTCCGTATCTTGGAGGGCATGCTGCAGGTGTGCTCCACTGAATGCTGTTGTGTCTGTGATGCTGCGAGATGCAGCTCATCATCTAAAACAAATTGACCAGTATTCAATTCTTCAAACTCTTAAACAATGATGTTTTTGGTAAAACCATAAAATCGTTGCAGAGACGTTTTAAGATGGAGCTAGTGTCTTGTGATAAAATATTATAAAAACTTATGAACAAAGATTCAAACATTGTATTAGGTGCAATGAAAATCTAACTGCTGTTTCGATAGAAAATAAAATTATTAAGTTTTGCTAGCCAATATATTATATAAGTATCTATTACGCATACAAGTATAAATGTTGTATTACTTTTGTTAATACCTTATTTTTAATAAATAAATWAAATTTTTTTTTTACTATAGGTTTTGCAGTACTAGATATAAGTAAGTTATTGATGTACGAGTATCATGATGGTACTATGAAGAGTCATTTTAGAGATAAAATAAWCCTCATGTATACAGATATAGGTAAATTGTTATTTTTATTTATATTTTCCTATGACAAACATAGCATAATATGTTTATTTATTTATTTTTTGTTTTAGATTCATTGATTTATTAATTTATTATATTAAGAATGATGACTTTTATAAACTTTGAAGAGCAACGCTAACTTACTGGACTGTATGGATACTTCAGACTTACCTAGAGATCACTCCTGCTATACAGCTGAATGATTCCAAGGTTGTTTTTCAATGARATAAAAGGACTAGCAATTGCTGAGTTTATTACCCTTTGAGAAAATTCATATGCTTACATTTTGAACAACAAGGAGAAATTAAAGCAAAGGGGAAGAGACGTGTAGTTAAAAATCATAAGACTTTAAAAGATGATTTAGATTGCCTTTTCTCCAACGACAAAAAAGATAACTCTAAACTACCTATATATTAGGKAAAATGTAGCCATCAGATCATTCAACCATAGGATACAAACAACTATCAAATCCAAAAAATTATGCTCCAACCAACAAGATGATAAAAATGTATCCACTTCTTATCGTACAAACTGATAGAATATAAGCTAGTGTACATTTAAATTTGATTGTTAATTATTGTAATGAAAAAAAAACTATAAACATTATAATAAATTTTATAAATGTCAGGTTAAGATTTTTTATTTTTTTAAATATCTCTATAGATATTAAATAGTTTTTTTAATAAATTCATGTAATGCATCTAACAGTAGGTAGTAGCCAGTAGATACATATATATTAGAGATGTTACGAACCATAATATTTAAGGTCGAACTGAACTTTTCTTTAAATTAACRAACTCGAACAGATCCGAACCTACACACTTTTAATCGAACCCGAACCGAACCGAACTCTTCAAATATTTGATCGAACTYGAACCGAACATTAAAAGTTAAATTGGATATATTTAAATTAATATTGATTTATTTAGTTATTTATCATTATACCTCAAAATTATTGAATAAAGATTTTTCTACTATTTACTTAATTACTTTAAATAAATACTTAAATAGTTAATAATTATTATGCACGAGATTTTTAATTTTTAATTATTAACATGATGATAACTGATAAGAAAAAGCGAAAAACATCAATATTTAAAACAAGCAAACATTAAAAAACTAATATTAATCTATTAATTATTAATTATATAATAATAATTTATAATTTTAGCCGTTACTCCATCGACTTTTATTTTTATTTCTCTGGTTCGATTATCGAACAGAACTATTAGATATTTGGTTCGGTTTGAAAATTGAACAGTTCGTAACATCTCTAATATATATTAATTAGATCCATTTTTACTTGACTAAATATTACCTCTATATTTCAAAAATTCTTAGGTGAGACTTTATTTATTTTCAGTTATAAGTAGGTATTTAATCACTTATCAACTGCAATATAAAATTATACWAGGTTAGGTATAAGCTATAAAAGTTATAAATATATACATTTTATGTAATATTTACATAATAATAATGCCTTATCAATAGTATAATGCTTTAATGGTATATTATTAAGAGGATATTGCACCCGCATATGTTATATTGTTATATACTTTTATCTGTCTTACACATGTACTACATAGCAAATTTTTGTTCATTAGTTTCATTAGTGTGCTGTTAGTTTTGATATTAGAGTGAATTGATCCATCATAACCTAACTTTTAGGTAAGAACATTATATGTGTTCTCTCGTTGTTTTTTTAGGATATTTTAAATTTTAAATGAGTTATGAGTATATTAAGTTTGAATATTTGAAAATGCATCACAAAATGAAACTACTGTCCAAATTGCATACTCATAGGTTCAGCAGTTTTGGCTAGGAGGTTATATTTAATTTTTACACTTTTCGTCCCTTTTAACCACCTTTAGGAGTTGAATTTTACAAAATAAAGCTCATAAACAATGTTCATTTGTGTTATAGAATATGTATACTTCAATTCAAACGAAATAAATGTTTTCAATTTTTACCACTTTAGGGGTAAAATTTTCATAAATTTGTTCTTAGCAGATGCCTAAGTCTTAATATAGCTATCTGCCTGCCAAATTTCAGCCCAATCTGTCCAATGGTTTGAGCTGTGAGTTGATATATTAATTAGTCAGCTTACTGTTTTATATACACCAATACAGATATAAGATATAGTAAAACACATAGTTCTCGAATGTTATAGGTTTTTGTTTCATTAAACATTAAATTGAACATGATATAGATCAATGGCGTAGCCAGAGGTTGTTAGAAGGCTTTACGGGGGGCTGAATTTTTAATAAATTAAAAAATATTCTTATAATCTATAAAAGTTACAAACATAAATTTTGTATATATAGTTGTACGGGAACAGAAACCTTAAATAATACTTTGGCATCAGTATACTAAACTTAAACTTGTGAAGTTCCTACTTTTTATTATTTTTTTTATTTTCTATTAGGTTCTAAGCTAAATGTAATTTTGTATATGATTTATTGACTTCTTATTAATGTAATATTCATTTACATTTTTTTCCTATCTATCACATGTAGTATGTACTTATTATGTATGAATGTATGTAGTAATGTAGTATGTAGGTATAGATAATATTATGTGAAAAACAGTTCTGAGCAATGAAAGTCTGTCAGACACTAAATATTACTAAGTATTTTTTCATGATATTATTGCTATGTTAAAATAATTTGTTTTATGTCCAAAATTATACCTAAAATATCTATTTATAAAAACTGTGTTTATACTTATTTTAGAATTTTTCGTCACGGTTTTAACTTTGAATTACTTAAGACAGATCTTGTTTTAAATTGTTCAATTCTTAGCTGTAAAAAAATTGAATAATTTATGACTTGTCAACATTTGAACTTCAAATGCGTATAAAAAAGAGCCGAAGTGATTTCAATATTTTTAAACCGATTTATAACAACTTAAGAAGAACCTATAGTATTAAATTATCAAGATTTTTTACTGATATAAAAAAAATTTAAATGTTTATAAATAGCTCAAAATTCAGTCTAGTATATACTGTTATTTGTTTTTGAAAATAAAATTTAAAAAACGTTCCATCATGAGAAATTTTTGATTACCAGTGGAATATACTGTCAAAAAACATAAACTTCAAATGTTCATAAAAACTAATTTAACTTTCCTGTATACTTTTTTTTGTTWAAGGTTAAAGGTAGACAATTTTATGAGGATACTTGTAATGAATTTTTAAATTTTAGATAGAAAAAAAAATTTTACGAATATCTAACTTAATATAATTTGTAAATTTTCGTAACTTTGAAGAGACGAAGAGTTGTATCAAAATTCAAACTTCAGACACTCATTACCTCAGAAATGTATAGGTACTAAATTTTTAAGTTTTTTGACCTAGTAAAAAATTTTTATATTAACCATAATTTAAGAAAAAAATAATAAACTAAAATTTTTAAACCTGTATGATATATAAAAAAAATATTATATAAACATCCGGGGATTATTACATGTATCTACTTATACGGTTATTATTATTTTCTAGTTACACCATAAGTCCATAAACCAAAATCGATTCTGTAAAAATCTGGTTTTGCATAAAAATTCCAGGTTTTCGTTAATTTTTGCTGTTTTGTTTTTCCTAGTGCTTATATGAAAACTAGTATGAATTTTCAATTTTGACCTTAAAAGTACCTACTAGATTTAGTTTTCCACCAGAAAAAATACTTAATTTGAAAATTGAAGCAATTTGTCTACTTGTTTACGGACAAAAAAAAAACACTAGTGTAAAAGGACGAAACACCGTCCAATACTCACATTCAATGATATAATATTTGAAAAACATTTAACATTTWATTTACACAATTTTTCCCATAAAAGTCGGAATTTAGGGAATGTTTATTATTTTCAATGTGCATTCAATAATGAATACCTAATTTTGTTTTGTCCTGCAACCTGCGGTTGTTAAACGTTTACCGGTGTAGG